TTGGTGCTATATGCTGTCCTTCCAAGCTTATTTTTGGCATATTGTTCAAAGCAAGGATGTAAAATATTTTTTTTAATTAGAAATTAGAAAACTTAGATTTTGAGGCAGTCTGCAGAATGACATTCCAAATTTATATACATTTATATATATATATATATATATGTGTGTGTGTGTGTTTATATTTATATTGGCTTCATTATATACAAGTATATGTAATTTATATATATATATAATATTATATATGTATACATATAATTATATACATTAAGTTATATATAATTTATAGAAATATATAATTCTATAAATATATTATATATAATTCTATATATATTATATATAATTCTATATATATTATTACTATATATATAATTATATAATTATAATATATACAACTCTAAGATATATTAGATATTATATATCTATTGTACTAGATATATATTATAATATCATATATATGTATATTTCTAATTAATGATCAGTGTGGAACACTGTTAGGGGATTAAAACTGCAGGCTCCTACCATTGTACATAAAATTTTTGGGGCTCCGTTGGTCACAAGGATCTGCATTCAGAGCCTGTGCTGATCCCACAGTTCCTGCCATCCATTGCAGTTCTTGGACAAGCTCCACCCCACCTTTTAAAGCCCCTCCCTCAGGCTGAGCAGGACAAGAATTTCACCATGGGGACATTCCCTGAGAGATCCAGAAAAATCCACAGATTTTGTGGGGACCGAGGTGTCAATGATTCAAACACTGAATTTCTGCTGTACCACAGCCCCACACACCCCATGTATAAAACCAACACGGGATTTTACTCTCCAGCTGCCACAAGCGCTAATGGATTCAGCACCCACCTGGAAATGCAGTGTGGAGCTCCAGGTGTCTCAGGCAGGGGCAGTTCTTGGCCTGGGGAAGGATTAATCTTCATTTCACACCTCACCAGGCTCATTGCAATCATGGTGGCATTTACTGCTGGCTGTGGGACCTGTGGGAACACGGAAAATATTTAAATATTTGCAGTGAGGTTTTTTTCCCAAGTTTTAGAAAATCCCTGGTTTTCCTCACTGGGAAAGAACTCAGAATTTTAGGGGAAATATTCCACAGTGATCCACAGCTCATAAGAAGTTTAGCTTGGAAAAGATCATCAAGTCCAATGATTAACTAGCTAAGATTGAGATGCTGGGAGCAGGGGGTGTACAGCCTGCTCAATAAAAATTAATTTTATTAATTAATAATGCCTGAGGAGTTCAAAATGAGGGGTTTTTTTTCCTATTCTAAACAAAGTTTTGCCTGATTAATGGTGTTACCTGGGAGGAGACAACCATCTTTATTTATTTTATTCTTCAGCTGCCATATCTTATCTATGAAACAGCAATCAGCTGCTCCACTATTGGCACAGCTGGCTGCTCACCACCACATTCCTATCAGAACAATGCAAATTGAAAAATATTGAACGGAGACCCAGTAAAACACTTGAGGAAACCCCCAGTGCACATTGGGCCAGGGAGTTTAAACCTTCCTTGGATTTGCCCTCCGATTTACTGTAAAGTTTATTTTAAAGTTAGCAGTCTATTTGGAGTTATGATTAATGGTTTTCAAAGGGCTTTTTTCTTTTTTTCTCCTTCAGCTGCTCCTCCCAACAAAGGATTTAGAATTAATTCACATCACCCAACTCCTTCCTTAATGGATTTTTAAGGTCCACTGCAAAGAATCAATCAATAGGAGGCTGAGAGCTCTGGCATGTAATGCATCCAGCCCCACCAGAGCAGGGCAAGGATCTCCAGCTGCATTTATTGGAATTATTTGCAGTGATTAAGAAAAGCAGAACAATCATTTGCATTCACTCAATGCAGGAGCAAAGAGAGTGACTCGAGAAGTACCAAAAGTTGGAATTCTTTTTGTGTTTTAAGAGGATTTTGTGAATCTTCCCTCAGAAATGCAAATGCTGCTGCACTGAATGTGTTCCTGTCAGGGAGTGTCTCATTTCCAGGGCACTATTTCCAGGACAAAGAGACATTTGCAGGTTAATTTTGTACCTGGAATGACAGCAGAAAACACTCCTGGAACTGGCAAGCAGAACAAGGAAATTCAAGCATTTCCATGGATTTTCTCCACTTTTTTTTTCTGCTATTGATTGTTTTCTCTTATTTATAACAATTAAAGAAAATTAACATTTTTAAACTCCATTTCACTGTTTTTCTTTTTCATAAATCAGATGAAAAATTAAAAAACCCCAGCCCTGTGTGCACAGAGAGGCTGCCACTGACTGAGCTGGAATGGGGTCAGGGCAGGGATGAAGATTTTTGGGAATGACACCAGAGAGAAAAGACTTGGACAAACTGGAAAAGCCTTTTTACAACACAATCCTTTGGAAACACGGCCTTTCTAAACTTTTCAGTTACCAAAAGAAATAACAAGAATTTGCCACTTCAGTGGCCCCTAAATAATGAATTCACTGTACAGAATAAAATTAGAAATCTGTAAAACTCTAAAAAATAATCAGGTTCTAAAATAACAACAATTTGGAGAACTCTTGAGATAAAAAAAATATTAGTTTCTCCTTTCATTTTGATTTCCTGAGGCTGCTTTCCATTGATTCCATTGCTCCAGGCAAACAAAACATCAATGCAAAATTCACACATTCAAATTTGGGCCACAAAAATCCAAAAAAGTTTTTTTTTTTTTTTTTTCCTCTGATTGTCCAAAGAGGCGACAAGAACTCCACAATTTTTAGTGCCAAAACCTTTTATGGGGAAAATTCCTCTTAAAAAATAGCTGTGCCCTGGAAGATACATTGAATTCTTGATCTTGAAAGTCCCAGAGAGGTCAAAGAACAGCTGTGCCATGTCCAAGGAATCAAAAAATAGCATCAGATATTTCATGTGAGCAATATCCAAAATTTATCACTTGCAGCAACAATAAAACAGGCAGAGATGTGGCTGGGATCGAGCTAAAGGTCTGAGCTGAAAAATACAAACCTTTAGGGGACAGCAGGAAAAAATGGAATTATTGCAAGAATTAGTTCCTTCTGGAAACAGAGTCAGCATGTGCAAAGATGAGGTTTTGCTGTAACAGGCTGGAGTTTGTTCCTGCTACTGCTCAAGGACTCTCAGGTGAAATTCAATCAATGGACAGGCAAATCTCCCCTCCTGCTCAGGAACTCACAGCTCTGAAAACCACCAGCGTTTCCTTCCTGCTCAAGCAACAGCTTGAGAAAGAGGATTTTTGGCCAAATTTTTGCTGTGTCTGCAGAGATTTACACAACAGCCACTGCTCTCCAAATATTTACAGCAGCTGAATATTCTTTAACCAGACAAGTCAGCTCCTTTCCTCTGCTGACCTGCCTGGTTGCTCACTTGGTACAATTCATTCATTATCTTTGGAGCACAATCAGGTTTTTTGGGAGGAATGAACACAAAAAGGGCTCTTCCCTGGCTGTCTGCATTTGCCCTCTGCCCAAAGGCTGCAGCTCCCTCTGCTCTGTCCATAACACATCAAAAGCTGCAGGTCAGGAGCAGAATGTGGGTGGAATCCATCAGGAGCACAATAAACTCTGAGACCCACAAGATGCTTATCCAGCAGGGCTAATCCTGACACTGGGGCTCATTTTCCAGCCAGAGCTCCCTCATGGATGCTGCAGCCCTGCTCTGAAAGATTTTGTGGTAAATCAGAGCATTTTTTTGTGGTAAATCACAGAACATTTCACAGAGGGGGAGATGAGACAAATAATCCCGCAATAAAAATGCAGCAGGTTTGGCTACCTGGGCTATTCCTCTTTCTCTGACACAACTTTCACCCCAGTCCCAATGGAAATGAAAATCCGCACATGAGCTTTCACTGAAAGGATCATGGAGCATAAAATTCCACTTAAAATAAGGAATGGTCCATTTTCCTGCTGTTTGTACTTATCTCTGGAACAGGTTTTCATTAAAGCACCATGGGATAGACTGTCCCTGGGCATTCTGGAATTCTGTGTATTTTACCCTCCACTCTGGATCCTTTACAGGAGATTAATTGGCTCTGTGTTTATGTAAATAGGGAAGCCAAGATTCCAGTGCATCCTTCTCCATAAATTAAAAACAATGCTTTCCTGCAGTTGTGGCTGTAAAGGGGAAATAGACCTTGACTGGATGTAATGAGGCATTTGTGTTTGCAGTAACCAGAATTTACTGTTACTGCTCCAAGAACCATCACTCCTTGTTTAGGCTCTTAACTGACAATAAGTGTGGCTAAAATAAATTTTAATGAACACTCCTGGGTCACCTTACTGAATTTATGGGGCATAATCCAGCATTATTTGCAACAACTGTGAACTCTGGGGCTGTGGGGAGGCACTGATTGCCTCCCTCAGGTCAGATGCAGGTTCAGACACGGCAATTCCTGAGGGCCTGGCTTTGGAAAGGTGGCCCAGAGCTGAGCTTTGGCTCTCTGTAAAAGCCACAAAAGGTCCTTGGAGTGGTGGCAGATGGAGCTGCTGCTGTGTTTGTATCAGAGAAAGGTGTGGGATAACGCTGGGGCTGAGCGGGTGCTGCTGGTCAGGAAGGGAGGATGCAGCATCCCAGTGTGGTGCTGGTGTTGGGAGGGTCCCCAGGGTGAGGTGAGAGATGAGAATTTGCCTCCAGGTTCTTAGAAGGCTGAATTATATATTATATATTATTATATATTATATATTATATATTATATATTATATATTATATATTATTATACTATACTCTTATATTAAAATGTAATATTATATTATATATTATTATATACTATTATATATTGCTATACTATACTATAATATTATATTGTATTATATTACTTTACATTACATACTATTATATTATATGACATTATATTACATTGATATACTGAAACTATACTAAAGAAAGAGAAAGGAGACATCAAAAGGCTTGACAAGAATGAATAATAAAAACCTGTAACAGACCCAGAGCTTGACACATCTGGCTGTGATTGATCATTAATTAAAAACAATTCGCATGTTTGGATAAACATGGAGAAGCTGAGGCCTCTCATCTTCCCGGGAGAAGAAATCCTGGTGAAGGGATTTTTAATACCATGAGGGAAGCAGCTCCCAAAAAAAGGTGAGGACGTTTTCCTCTCCAATTAAAGCACTGCACTTACATAACATCCCTGCTTTCCACTCCATTGTGCCTGGTCCTCACTTGAGCAGCTTATCTGTGTGATCCAGATTTCTTTATCCACCTTTGTATCTCGTTCCAAGGCAGCTGGACAGAATTTCAATGCAGGACCAGAGTGGTTTTTAGAAAAGCCTCCCAGCCCCATTGTGTATCTGAGCAGTGGGTGTGAGGTGCAGGCCATTGTCATGCTGCCCTCCTTCATCTTCCTGAAGAGAAAAATAGAAAAATGCTTGAATTTTTAACCTATTTTTCAGGAAAATAAAAGCCTGACCTCTATACAGTGCCTAAAGCCTAAGCTGGAAATAATGAGTTATTATTTAATTCTTCTGTAGTTAAAGGCCATGGGATGTTACACAAAGAAATGTGCTCATCACACGAGCCTTCATTATGGAATGTGCTCTCCTATTTATTAAAAATAATATTAACACTGCTGCCTATTTATTTAATGCTTTTCCTCTTCAGAGCCCTTTTTAGGCATTAGCTAATTAATGTAATGGCTTGGGATATTTCAAGTGGGTCTCTCCTTGGCAGAGCTGACGGAGGGCTCTGTTCAGGGCAAGGAAAATAAATGTTATTTGTGCTCTGTGCTCTCTCCCCACACCTCCAGCTCCTTCAGAGGGGCCAGGCTGAAGCCAGGCTGGGGTTTTGGCAAATAGAACATGGAAATTCAAGCATTTCCATGTATTTTCTCCACTTTTATTCTGCTCTTGATAATTTTCTTTTATTGATGACAATTAAAGAAAATGAACTTTTTTTTTTTTTTAAGGGAAGGCAATGTTGAAAGCTGGTTCATGTGGGGATTAAAAGTCCCAAACTCAGTGCTCAGCACGTGTGACACCTC